GTTTCCTAGTTAGCAGACAACTACGCAGCATTTGAACATGCAACAATTGCACAAAAAACTTTCTCATTCACAATTTCTAGCTGGAAAGTTTCGAATTTTCTTCGAGTATAAATAAAATGGTAAAATTTGTCATAGACCTCCCCCAAATTTCAACTGTTTACAAATTATACTAACACTTATTCTACGTCCAAAATCACACAGCCAGACGTATTCTAGGCGGGAGACGTAGGCATGTATTTCATGAAAATGCCTAGAACTACATATTTTGAAAAATGTTCTCAGGGTCCCACTTACATTAATAAACCTAAGTTGGCTCCCAGCTGTGACCGCTATTTTCAGGATTAATCCCTCGGTTCTTTGAGAAATTACAGCAGATCGACTATCATAGGACTTTACACGATGTCCTAAATCAATCACAGCTACCACAAGCATGGAACCACACAGTGGCGTAACTACTATGGGCTCGGACCGGGCGAACCCGCAACCTCGTTCCCAGGGTGTACGCTCTTTCCCTGCTGGAACGAGGTTGGCGAACCCGGGGGCCCCCAATCCCAATGGGCCAAATGGGGCCCCCAGACTTAGGCTATAGAGCAAAAACATTGGCCAGGGCCTCTGATATGTCACAATGTCGTTTTCTGACAATCAGAATTCTGTAAAATGTCTCACCCCAAAGTCCGGGAAATGGCATTTTAGAGAGACTAGATTCAAAAATTTTCCGTGTGAGCCCTGGATCTCTAGAAAACTCGTGCATACACGGTGCTCAACTCGTGCCTTTGGCACTTCTACCAGGGGGGGGACTTCGAAAATTTTGAACCGGGGGCCCCTTGTATAACGTTAAGCCACTGGAACCACATAAAAAAAACATTGACCTAAAGACAACACAAAATATTTGCATTCACGTCATTACAATTTTTCCCGTCCAAAGACATTAGATCAAACCAAACCACGTGACTGGCATACATCATAACGTCAACACCTTAACATATTTGATACTTCATGATCACGTAATACAATAGTAAATACACAATAATCATACTACCAATGCTCTGCTACCAATGAGTGTCAACATACTTTCTCAAATGTTTACATGCATGTCAAAGTTCAGGAATGAATTTCAAGTTCATAGACCTTCATACTGTCCTGAAGACAGAACATATGGCAGGATCCAAAAAAACGATCCTCTATATGTATGATATAGAATTGTCACCTATTTAAAATAAAGTTGTTTTATATAAGGAACTTAGAAATATATGAATTTTTGTTTTACCCCGTTCAATTCCAGGCAAATTTATTCTTCTAGGCCTAAAATCATCGTCTAAAATCATTTGAAGTTAGTCGGAGCAAAAGATTGGGGCTGCATTGCACTTTAACGAACCTTACCGATTATTAAAGAATACCGAATGGTTTTCCGTGCAGGATTGCGTGATCCATGCATGAGGGATGTCGCGAGATTTTCGGAAAGCGTAAAAATACTCGAGCAGCAAGAGTGTATTTTTACGCTTTCCGAAAGTCGAGCAACATCCCAAGTGCATGGATCACGCTATCCTGCTTGGAAAACCATTTGGTAATTGTTTTATAAAATAACTATAGTGAAACAATGACATTTTGAGAATCCCGCGAAGGCATTTTAATTCCTCGTGCAGGATAGCCTGATCCTGCACGGCTACTGACCAATTAAATTACGTGTTTCACTGTAGTTATTATATAATCCCTTTTACCCAATAGACTCGTTTCCATGTTAAGTTATTTTAGCAAGTCAACGGCAGATAAAGATTATATTTCCATGTTTTTCATGTGTTTCTTACTGTTCTTATAGGCTCAATAACAAAGTGATTTTCAACCGTACTAAGTACAAAAGATGCAATGAGTAAGTATTCGACACGAAATCGAGGCCATTGGGTGAAAAGTGAATAAACGGTAATATAGTCATATTTTGGTCCTATAAGGCTATATTGTTGCATTTATTTTTCGCAACTGCGTTTCCTCTCGAACTTTTCAAAATACAATACAATTTAATAGTGATACAATTAAATTAGTGACACAATACAATTCAATAGCGATCAAATCCAACACAATTCAACACAACTGTCAACACAACACCTGACAAGATTCCCAAGAAGTTTTATTTTAACACACAACTGGAATATACAATTACTTTATGGTTTCCGTGTTTGGATGGCCTGATCCAAACACGCGGGAATGTTGCGAGAGTTAAGAAAAGCGAGCGAAATCACGAGCCAAAGGCGAGTGATTTTGCCCGCTTTTCTTAACTCGAGCAACATTCCCAAGTGTTTGGATCAGTCCATCCAAACACGGAAACCATAAAGTAATTGTTTTATAAAATAACAACAACACGATAGTCTTCCGTGTTTGGATGGCCTGATCCAAACACGGCTTTTGACCAATCAGAACACGCGTTATATACATGTTATTTTATAATTCGTTTTGCAACGACATAGTTACAAGGTGCTTGCAAGAGAATTTGAGCGATTTGATCTGTACGGTATGATACTCTTCAACCCATGTGGTAAAGAGTTGAAGAGTATTGCTACACTACAGTATAACAGATTTTAGACTTAGCAAACTCTGTTTTGGCCATAGGGCAGAGGAAGTTTAAGATCAGTGTCGGACGTCGTGGTGTTTACATCATGGCAATTTCACATGCCAGAAACAAAAAACAACAGCAAATACATGCATTCTGTGGTCAAGATTTACAATGACAAAATTGAATAGTCGTCATTTCAATCCGAAGCTTTCTGATATACAAAACCATAGGCAGCCCACTAAACTACTGAATTTAAATTAAAACTGCAGTGAAATTATAAAATTTAACGAAAATAATCACAAGTTAGCGAAATATATTGCGAAATGTAGCTTATACTTTATATTACGTCAGTCCGCCGAAATGCAATCGAGTGGCGATTTAATATAAGGGAAGCCTCACATACAGTGCTTCCACTTTGAAAAACCAAAAACTCCTTTTTTTCTCCTTATTTTGACCGAAATTTCCTTCAAAAAATTGTGAAATTTCCTTCAAATTTCCTTCATAAAATTAAATAAAATTACGTTGAATACTCCAAAATCAACCTTAAAACAGCCTTTTTCTCAACATAACAATCATCTGGATGTTCAATTTTATCATTGCTGTAAAGTCTAATACAATTATAAAAGTGGGGGAGGGAGTGCCCACCGAAGGGGGTGATGCAGGCAGTGGCAGAAATCTGGGGGGGGGCAAGGGGACGGTCGCCCCCCCACCTTCACGGAAAATTGATGAATTTTCGGAAATTTGAACCTAAAAGAGGGCTAAAAACAGTCTTTTCGAGTGCAAATGGGGGGGGGGGGGTATGTTGGAAATTTGAAAGTTTTGTTGGAAATTTAGGAGGCTTTGCCCCCCCCCCCCCTCACCGGAAAAAGTGAATTTCCCCACTGATGGCAGGTGACATTCTGGGGATCCGAGGGCATGCCCTCCGGGAAAATTTTAAACTACAGTCTCTGAAATGCCATTTCCTGCACTTTAGAAGGAGATTTACAGAGTTCTAAAGGTAACAAAATGTCATAAAATATCTCAAGTTGTTTTGTCTACATGCGTAACTGAAATAATATCATTTAACTTTGTTTATTACTGCATGACCATTGTTTTAAAAACTGAAGGGCCCAAAGACATTGAAGCCCCCCCCCCAACTACAAAAGTTTCCAACGCCCCCGGAGATAACTAAATACTATAAACAGAATGACGTCTTCAGGGAGACAAAAGTAAATAATGAAATATAAATTCTCAATTTCTATTCTCTGTTAAATTGTGGCCAAATTGAGGCTTATTTTACGCTTTATTTTCAAAATATATTAAATATTACCAATTTTGGTGAAATTTTGCTTTTTCCTTCATATTTCCTTCATTCTTCTAGAATTTCCTTCACATTTCCCTCAAAATTTATTTCCTTCAAATTTCCTTCATTTTGCAAAAATTTCCTTTCAAAAGGAAATTTCCTTCAAAGTGGAAGCGCTGCTCACATATCGATTTTGTCCATGAGAAACGTCATATGTTCGTTTCTCTGGAGACCCCCCCCCCCCCCCTTAGAAACGTCACACATAGTTATCGATATTTTGTTCTTATAGTACACATAAGGTAATTTTCTACTATTTTTTTCGGTCGGCTATTGGCGATGCTTCCGCGAGGAATATGTCATCTTCTGCTGACATACTCTTTTTTTATTAATATATATGTGAACTTCAAAATTTCAAACGTTTCTCAAAACAACATTTTTTTGAATGAAATATTGATCATTTTAGCGCGTATTTCTTGAAATTTGAGTGTTTTCAAATGCAAAGAAGGCGTAATAATATAAACGGTATTACGAATATATAGACTGCTGTTTGTATCAAATTGTTTTCTTTTTTATACTCTGCAAAGATAAAAACTATCGATTTTTTCCATGATGTTTACAGAGAAACGTCACAGCTGCCAACCCCCCCCCCCCCAAACGAACATATGACGTTTCTCGTGGAAAAAATCGATATGTGAGGCTTCCCTAAGCTACATTTCGCAATATATTTCGCTAACTTGTGATTATTTTTGTTAAATTTTATAATTTCACTGCAGTTTTAATTTAAATTCAGTCGTTTAGTGGGCTTCCTATGACAAAACATGTAAATATATTTGTCGTCGTCTCGTTGTGAAGTTTTATGGCTGTTTGCAGATATACGTGCGTTGACATAAACATTGAGTTCTCTTTGTCTAAGCAAGGACTTGCACATGAATAAATGTGCAGCAGTTAATATGTTGAGTTTGGAAGAAATAAATACACACTAAACCATACAAAAATTAAATGCTGCAGTACCTTCATTCATTTCACTGTGACATGTAAATGGTTTGAACTGGAAAACAGCCTACATACAAGTGTTAAAAAAAACCTGTATCTCGGCTAGTATAGTCTTGTCAATGAAAATCTGTCAATGACAATGTACGTGCTTGCTTGTTCATGCATGCAGTGTCACAACATACCTTCATAATTTCCATCAAAGCAAAAGTCTGCTCCAGATACCACTAACATACTGAATGCCTGGAGAAAAATGTACACCACAAGCAAGCGAAGCATGTTTGGTTTTACAAAGACTGATTTTTTACACTTTTTACTTCGAGTCTTCGTTGCCTTAAAAGACGCGATCGATTGACTTATCCCACCTCTTATAATTCAATGTGCATATGTTGTCCCTCACTTCGAAAGTTCCTACTGCGTTCAATTTTAAATAGGGATAAAAAAGTCCGCCAATTATAGTAGCTAGGTAGCGTGAACAATGTCTATCGACTAATAGTAATATGCACAAGGATAAATAATGCAGGATGTAATATATGAACAACGAGAGTGACTGTTTCACCGGGATATCCAAACACTCGAAAACAATGTATGAGAACACGAGCGCGAAGCGCGAGTGTTTTCATACATTGTTTTCGAGTGTTTGGATATCCCGGTGAGACACTCGCTCGAGTTGTTTATATGGCTTCTCAAATGAATCGAGACGTAACAGAATGTTTTCGTTTGCTGATTTGAATAGAATTCTTAACCAAGCATAACGTAATTAGGAATTCTATTCAAGTAATTTTGCATGCGTAATTAAGATATTTGATGAAAACACTAGTGACTTTCATCCAAAGTGTATCCAAATGGCATCTTATGATCAAATAGGTGATTATCATTGGCTGAATTACTCATGAATTATTAATGAATTTGAGAAATAATTATATTGATGTAACCCCTGCTGCATGTGTTAAGGCCCTGTTACACGGTGCAATTTTTCATGCAACTTGTCTCGCAATGTTTAAAAAAAGATTTTGATAATGCATTGCAAGAGGTGTTACACGCTGCAATGATATTCATGCAACTCGCAACGATACGGGACAGAGGCATGCGAAGAGAATAAGGAGAGGCGCTATTTGGCGCCAAATTTTAATTAAAGTAAAGCGTGTACTGGGGAGAGCCAATAGGAACTCTCCAAGCATTAAACATTGCGAGACAAGTTGCACGAAGCCATGTTACACGCTGCAATGCTAAAAAAATTAGTGCAATCGTTGCCAAAAGTAGAACTGACTTCTACTCTCTGCAATGCTTCATGCAACTTGTCTCGCAACGATTTTGACCATTGCAAGGCATGTTAAACGGTGCAATGACTCGTGCAACTTGTCTCGCAATGCCATTGCGAGACAAGTTGCATGAAAAATTGCACCGTGTAACAGGGCCTTTAGGTGTTTAAGACACGATGTTATTCAAATTCACTGCACACAATATCGTAACATACTAAAAAAAGAAAATATTTGGATTAACGAATAACGTGTTGCCTTTCTGGCCTCTGCGGCTAAAATGATTATAATTTTGCTCCAGTCCCATGAAAGTTGTCCCAGTTTTCAGATCGTTCTAGAAAAATTCCAATTATACAAGGGCTGAAAGCCTGTTAGTATAATCGAGGTTATATGAGTGAACGAAGGGAAAAATGTATGAGAATCTTGTATTCTCATATATTTCGACCGGAGTTCATGAAATATGATGTATGACTATAGAGCTATCCAGTAGCAATAAGGAAATTATTTTAGGGTTATATTGACTTTTAGTTTAGTTTGACCTTCGATTAAGATTGAAACTAATTAATAATTAAAATCAGTAATTGATATTAGTATAGGCCCTTTTACACGCCACGATTGTCGTTCTGGTGTATATGAAAACGACTGCTGACGCCACTACATAACCCTGTTCATCAGGTTATGGCGAAATTTCAAATGCGCATGTTTTTATTCGAGTACATACACCAGGATTAGAATCGCATACGATTATAGTCGTACCGTGTAGATGATCCTTTTGGCATTCTATGTGCTTGTTTTTTCGTGACTGCGTGCAATACACAACTGTATGACCTGCTGAACGCAACTGATGTGTGTATATGCCACCTGTCTCGGTGTATTTGAAATTAGCTTTAATTTTGAGCTTTGTTTAAAATATTCGAACATATAAAGCATGTCATAAATTTCAGACATTAGCATTTCAACACGACAAAATTAATGAAATAACTCACTAGAAAGTAGAAATGAGACGACAATTTAGAAAACTATAAGGAAAAAAAACATTCAGAAGAAATCCTATACTCAAAACTCAGACAAAAATGAATAGCTTAATTAAAACAACATGAATTTTTCAAACTGCAAAGACAAAGTTTCGACGGTATTTCAAAGTCATCACACGAGAAAACACAACTTAATGTTTTTAAACGATTAAACGTGCAATAAATTTCTGCATACACAGATACACTCGGCCCAAAATGCTACACAACAAAAACATATATGGCTATAATATGAAATGTCATCTAAGGAGTCGCTTATACTATCGAGGATTCCTCGTTTCAACGAGCAATCGAAGCCAACGCCACTATTGTCTATGATATTATAACAGAAAGTTTTATCTTATTAATAAAAATTAGTCTTATTACAGGACATTCATGGAAAGTCTTAATAGTTTGTCTCACTGAAAGAACGTTTAAAATTATATATTACATTTTGTTGGAAATGTTTCATATGGAACTTAACTACACTGGATTCTGGACTATTTTGACAGAAAAGCAAAGAGCTTTCCGCCATCTTGGATTAATATTTAACCTCACTGACTCTGGTTTTGATGACTGTGTGGGGATATAGCCCAGGCATTGATATGTATCTCCAATGACCAATAAGATAATAACCAAGTACGAGGTTTTGGCTAATATTGATCACTGGCTGTCAAGATACAAATCTTGCGTGACCACCACTTGTAACGTAACATGCATACCTGAATAATCCAAGATGGCAGACAGCTCACTGTCTTCAGTCAAAATATTTCACGAACCAAGCAAGATGTGAAACAGCTCTAAAAAATCTTTAATTATTTTAAAAGTTATTTCAAATGAGACAAAATACATTTTTACTGCTAATTTCCTTTAAACATCAGTTAACACCAGCGAATATATCTACTTCACTGGTTAACACATGGTTATTTGTATGTTGTTAAACTGTCAAATGTTTTAATTCAGCGCTTCAATATTCGACAGAGTTAAAACTATACTGTTTTTTCATAAAGACTCTTTTCCATTCATCGCAAGAGTAAACTCACAAGGTCGCTGTGAGTGCTTGCATCTAATTGAAATGAACTGCCGAGCATTGTGATCGGATGACGTGCTCGCAGCGAGCACAAGAGTTGACTCTTGCAATGAATGGAAAAGATCCTTAACACAACATGTTCCACTTTTTAAACCCCGCCCTAACTATTTTTTGCCACGGTGAAGGGGAGCAAGTTACTGTATTAAGCCAACGTAGACATTATAAACTGTGCTATATTGTGTACCATGGTTTCAGTCGTTCTTTCTTTAACACGGACGGACCGGCCAGGTCGATCAAATTGTTAAATGAAATACAAAACGTACAGGTAATTTGAGATCGGTCTGACTGGAAAATTTGAATCAAATCAGAAGGTGATCAGATTTATGAAAAACTTGGCTCAGATCTTTCCAACAAATAAGAAATAGAGATTCTTCTCTGATTGGTCTGATCATGAAAATAGAAGCGCACTGAAGGTCTTACTGGAATGGACGCAAATTCAGTCCGAATTCGCTGCTGTGAATAGAAATGAGAATTTAAACCGCACAACCAAATTGTATAGTAGTCCGCCAGTATAGTCAGTCTGGTCCAAACTAGTAAAGAACTTGATATAAAGACTCTAACGATAAGAAAGTAATAGATGAAGAACCAACATCTAATTTGCAGGTCAGTCAGTCCAGTTCAAAATGTTGGTTCACAGCCTCGATAAGATCTGCTTTCTTTGTTCCACATTTGATGTTGTTAGATTTCGCAAATTCCTTCAAGATTGCAACTGTCAGTTTACTGAGCTAAAAAAGAGAAGAAAACGTTTCACTTCTATGCCGCATGCAGAAAAAAAATTTTGCGATCATTTTAAGGCTTGGTTACCAGCACTGAACTATATATGTGCTAAGGACAACTAAACTGTAACCTTTAACTCTAATGCAATAAAGCGCAAACACAGTGTTGTAAAAACTGAATTTAAGTTGGACACTACAAGATGCATATTTGCACTTTGTTTACATTTTGCCACAGTTTTCTTCCCTGTGATTCTAAAAGCAAAAGTGCTGCCCTCCATATAATTCAAAGACAGGGGTGACAGGAGTCATAAGACTTATGGATACAGTAAAAACTATCACTTCGTTTCGAATAATTGCGCAATTCACTGTGAATTTAGCACTATGTTCGGGAAAAAATGCATCACGATATTCAGCACCATGCTTTCCTATACAGTGAAGGCGTACACGTTTTTTCCAGAACTTTTTTGTGGCCGTTAAACGGACCCCAAAACTCAGTAAAATTGAAGTTGTTTGGCTTGAATTTGTGATGTGGAAAATTTGAGGTGCGAAAACAGACCCAGCAAAAAAGTTCTTATAAAGTGGAAACTAGAAAGCCGGCCATATTGAAACAGAGCTATACTTGATATTTGCTGTGCTGGTGTAATGTACTCAGGTGAATAAGATGCTTGTGATGTTACTCTGATCCACACCGGGCAGGCTTGAAAATATGCCTGGCCACGGTGGGAATCGAACCTACGACCTTTGGAATACTAGCCCAATGCTCTGCCAACTGAGCTACGCGGTCAGGTCGGTTCGAGTATGTGATATTTCGGAACTGAGTCTAGTTCCTTCAATATCAATGTAATCTAATAATCATGATATTTGCTGTGTAATGTACTCAGGCGAATAAGATGCTTGTGATGTTACTCTGAGTGTATATCCACACAGGGCAGGCTTGAAAAATATGCCTGGCCGCGGTGTAGGTTCGATTCCCACCGTGGCCAGGCATATTTTTCAAGCCTGCCCGGTGTGGATAAACACTCAGAGCTATACTTATACAAGTAGGTACCTCCGCGTAAAGAAATACAATCGGCTGACTTTCGTGCATGGTTCTGAACTTGTCTGGTCTCGTGTGAACGTACTTGAACATGGACAATTTGACAAAAAAAATTGTCGAAATTTCAAGCTCTAGATTAGAACAGTAAAGGTTTGATAAGTGCTCCAACTATGTTTTAATAGAATACATGATATATGAACAGCTAAGCAAGGTCACGTGACTGCCAACTCACACGCACTCTCATCCTCGTTTGATCCGGGCATTAGTGTCTATTTAGTTGAAAGGATCCAGACATATTCCAATACCGAGTCTCGTCCGCATGCAGGCATCGCCTTTAGATTGGCGGGCAGAATTTGGTTGCCGGCAAACCAAGCAATGGCGGTGAACTACGAGATGCCTGGGGAGGAAGCTATGCAATACCAACCTTTCCCGTTGTGGCATATTCCTTGACGTCCACTGGAGGTAATTCTTCAGTTTTCACTCGTTTAGTAGACGTACTAGACGCACTAGCAGCCTAAAAAATATTCAATATAAATTCAATAAGCGGGCACGACCAGATATTTCATAAAAATAGGCCCGCCGCTGAGTATTCAACGCATGGCATCAGGGGGCTCATAGTGGGCTTTTGTTTTGTTTTGTTTTGCTTTACTTTGATCTATTTGTAACAAAGTAAGGCTGAATAGACACTTCCTAAATTTGCTTGCGTGCACACGAAACAATAGAGAGTTTACGATTCACGACGCGGCTAGAGAAGACGCGCTAGAAAGGCTTGGTAACTAGCGCGTCTTGTGTAATTCCAACGCGTGGTCAACGATTCTACGACGGAATTTTGTCAATTTCACGTTGTGATCACTACCAACACTACGCTGCGAATTTCGGGTGAGTATCGAATATTTTTACATTGAAAACGTGAATTTAAGTTCTTAACTTTAGTTTTGATGAAGCAGAACCTTTGATTATATTTTCTGTGTAAACAAAAATTATAAAGATTTTGAAAAACCTATAATTTCCCCGCCAAAATAAACGTTTTACACCAGCGGTTGTGTTTCGTAACGTAGGGAACAGAATAAAACGCGGCTTGGGCCGCGCTGGTTACCAAGCCTTTCTAACGCGTCTTCTCTCGCCGCGTCGTGGATCGTAAACTCTCTAATACTTTTTGAAATCGAGATGGATCAATTGTAAATAAATATTTTTGAAAGGCTCATATTGCAAGTTTAAAATGTTATTCATTGTTCTTGAGTGACCTAATATTGCTTTGTGGCCTTTAGGCCTTTCCGAACCACAAAATTCTGGCAGTAAATTGAAAATTTTGTCGACCATATCTTGAAATAATATATTTAGTTCGCCTCATTAATATTCAGTACACGTCAGTATGTACAATGTACACATGCTCTGCTAAGATGAGTTAACTCACAAATACGTGCAGTGGTATCTTCTGCACCTGCACATAGCTGCATACTTCTGTCAAAACGGCTCCTACTCTAAATTTTATTGGGAACCATGACACTCCATAAATTGTTAACATTTTCATTCTCTACGTTTCGACTATTACTTTGTAGTCACCTTCAGGAGAATGCCAGGTTTTTAAAAATCCAACTATTTATAAGTCGCTGCTTGCAAGTTGTACAGTTTGATGACGCCATCTAATTAATCTCACGGAAAATTGTCAGTCCTTTAGAGTAATGATAGTAATAAGGACCAATCATTAGATCAAAAACTTTTTTGAAAATAATTTTGAAACAAATGACAGCGATATTACATTTATTAAACGACGTTTCGATGCTACAGCGTGCATCATTTTCAAGTTATAGTAATTACATATATTGCTTTGATTTTAATTAAACCGTTCGTGTCACGTTAGCAAATTATTGCGTAAGCAATATGTTAAATCTGTTTTATGTTTTTTTAATTGTAATTTATTACGTAATATAAATTTAAATTTTGCATGCTTACGCAATAAATTGCTAACGTGACACGAACGGTTTAATTAAAATCAACCATAGAAATATTAGCACAGAATAGATACAGGACCAGAAGTGTCACTCAGACGATATTTTGTCCGATATTTTACGAGTGCTGACGTGAAAATACGCCATCATATGACGCCATCCTGGAGTGCACACGGAAGTTTTTCATAGGAAAACATAGGTACAAAGTGCCGGGTGCACTCCAGGATGGCGTCATAGCACGCCAAAAAATTTTGGACGTTTTCCTTCAGCCAAAACACATAGGAGTGACACTTCTGGTCCGGTATCTATTCTGTGATATTAGGCATAGAATGCGTGCTCCTATCTCTTCTCAGTAAAAATTTTGTCTCCACAAAATGGCGGATTTATAAGGGCATTTTGGCCAGTCCCAGACTCCTGCGGCAAGGAATTTCGCGCGGTTGCAGGAGTGCGAATTGTTTTTTTCAACAAAGTTTGCAAAAACAATTATATCGAGACTTGAAGTGGGAAAAAATACATTCCCCTGTTTTTTTTTACGAAAAGCAATAGTTCTGAACAGAATATATACAGAAATCGTACGAATATAATTATACACAATTCCCAGGCAGATTTAACAGAAAACGAACATACTGAAATTCATCCCAATTATGTACATGATTATTTATCAGACTTAGCGTGTTCATTGATGCGTGTGTAGAGGCATCTGTCCGTTTTCCAAATATAGGAAAAACATGAGAGTTTATACACAACCGAATTTTTGTAAGGAATTCTCCTGAAGATGACTACAAAGTAATTGTAGAAACATAGGGAATATATTTTGGAGTGTCTATTGTTTTGTGTTTAATTAAAAGAGATTAACATCGTTATTTTTAGCGGTCTAGTTAATTTCAATAAATATTAATCGTACTTCTTTGAAATCTAAATCGTAGTGTTTTTCATAAAATTCATTACAAATATAGTAACACGGAATTCTTTACACGCAATTTCAAACGTGGGGTCCAATGTACGTAATTTTCTATACAAAACAAACGGTCTTCGTTCTGGTCGGAGCAACCTGAAAACGATAGAATGGAGGTGCACGTCTCTTTTTTATACCTCTAAGCATTATACACAGTATAACCTCAATGCCGCCATTCATACCCGACTTCGTATACGGCAAAGCACGTTGTGCAGTTTTCACTTTCAAATGAACAACTAAATAGCTGTATTTCAAACCTTAAAAGCTTTATTTATTTTGCTTTATTTCTTTATTTCAAACAACTATAAAAAATTGCTTTATCTCAAACAACTGTCAGAAATGAATATCAAGACTGGGTTTTGATATGCATGAACTGTAAAGACTGGTTCAGTTACACCATGGATTGTAAATAACTGGATAGGAAACTTCTGACGTCATTGACCTCATCCTTGTTGAAAAACGTGACGTCACGCGTATTGCGAATATTACCAAAGTTCTCGGCATTTTTGTTGTTTTGCTATATTTTCCACTTTAAAAGAGTGATTTTGAAGCATAGACTGGTCTAATTGTTTTAAAAACATGCCTAAGCCACGATTATAATCAAGGTAAATGTTTTTCGTCTTTGTTTTGTATTTTTTTATATTTGTAGCTACGAAATTGGCGTCACAAATTTTAACGAAATTTGCGATGTATTTTTCACTGTTTAGTGCTTGAAGTATTTGCTAAAATTGACTGGAAATACTTAAAGTTTTCATCGTAGAATGGCGTGGTTATATTTATTTGCTCTTTGACTAAAATGTTTAGCTGTGTTATTGCTAAACATGCCGTTTTTGAGAATTTGGTTTGCAACTAGGTTGGGACATCCAACCACGCCATTAGCCCAGTGAACACATTAGGTCACGTTAGCTAGTTTCCTATCCATTTATTTTATTATCCATGGTTACACTATCAAAGTTTCTGCGATCACAGCAGGAAGTAAATTCTACGTTTTGAAGAATGTGTCAGATAACTTTGAGAAAACTAACTCACTGTTTAACACTGACTCCCCTCAATGATCTCTTACGAATTCTTCAAAACTTAGAATTTACCATACGCACAATTCCATTTCCTATTGTGATCACAAACACTTTGATAGTGTAAACCAGCTTTAATCACTGTGGTTTTCCATCGTTAAATCCGCTCATAAAAACATTAAATTATATTGTTCTGATTGTTTTACCTTCCTCTTCCCGCCTTTGGCCTCACTATCATAACCTTCAGGAAATACAAGATCTTTGAAGTCTGTTGCTAGGTTACCAAGTCTTGCATCTAGTTGAGCTTTATTTGGTTCTGGAAATTTTGTTTTATTTCGTTAATTTGATTCAAGGAATGAAAGCGATTAACATCGTTATTCTTAGCATTCTAGCCAATTTCATTAAATTTTAATCGCACTTCTTTGAAATCAATTAAAATCTTAGTGTTTTGCATAAAAAAACTCATTTAAAATATAATACAACCGTTAGAGGCTACACAAAGTAGATTATTTCTTTGCAAGGTCAGTTCCAAGTGCCGCCAATACTCCGGGAGACATGCAGGGGCCATTTTTTCCAGGGCCCGCAGCTCAAAAGATCCCTATAAAGCGATGGAGTCCCTTGCACTTTCTTGATGCAGAATTTGCTTAACCGAGAAAATAAATCCTAGGGCCGGATAATATGCAATAAAGTGTACCATATTGTAAAACACCGCTTCTCTTGTTTTACAATTATGTCATCGATCATAGGAGCCCCTGGGAAAATTTTCTCCGTTCCAAGTACCCAGTACAGCCAATAGACCACTTTCATAATACCGATGGGTTTAAAGTAGTTCTATGTGCATTTTAATAACCCTTCTTGGCGTCGTCCGGTTACAGAATTATATTCAGTTAGTGACGAAAAGAGGCCAAGAAAGCTTATTAAGATGCACATTAAAGAATATCGTCAGCCTCTTAGCATAATTGCCTAACTAATTTGTGGGCCAAAATGCGTTTTTGCCAAAGTCATTCTGTAATCAGTTGTTGCATGGAAATCTCATTAACCAATCAGAAAGCTTCTTATATATGCCGTAAACAACATTTGCCTATGTCACGAGCGTGAGTTGCTGTGCATAAAAATATTTTTTTTCTGTATTTCTCAAAACTTAAAAAAATGAAATAGGCAATTATGCTAAGAGAGTTACCACCTCCGCAGGCCTTAAAAAAATAAAATTGGTGGGAAACGAACGGAAAGCGAACTTACAGCAACGAAAACGAACTTACACCTACGCAAGCCTTCGTCTCAAATTTCAACCTGCGAACGGGCATACTCATTACGGGCTGTATGGCCTGCGGAGGAGGTAGCTAAGAGAGGGTGATGATATTTAATTAAACCCAACTGTATGATGAAAGTGGTCTATGGCAGATTTTGCTGAATGTTACTGAAGCCGGGCGGACAAGCGATGACTTTAGTCGGCCAATTTATGATTTACGTTCATGTTAAAACGAAAAAGTGTCAGTGCCATAATCTGTGGGCACATTATTCTCGTACATTTGCATTGGCTTCGTTAAATAAAATGCACTTAAACCATAAATCGGCCGACTAAAATGGTAGTGTTTGCGCCATGCTAAACAAACATTCTCAGTTGACGAGGTCGTTAGATGATCATTACCTTCTATATTTTAAATGGCATTAAAGTGCAGCGAAAATCGGTCCGTGGGTTAATGCAGCAAGGGTCCGCGCACCATACCTGAGAGATCTTTGAAACTTTCTGGTGCATCTTTATCGAGAGCCAAAGCTTCAAGATTGCCGTAATGTTTCTGTAGGGCTACAAAATATGGAAATTAATTATATAAACAAGAATATAGAGAAAATTTAAATACTTTAAGATTACAAAAGATATGTTGCCTGTACTGTATGTAGGTAATACACTAGCGCGACTAAATATATGAAATTTCTAACGACTAAATATGAAGACTATTCTAACCAATGTAAGTTTAAACATATTATAGGGTTTTATTAGTAATTTGAGTTTGGCGCGGTTTTGTGTATTCAAATATGCCAACACTACAATGTAGAATTCACCCACAACAACAACAACAACAACAACAACAACAACAGCAACAACAACAACAGCAACAACAGCAGTAACGACGACGACGGCGGCGACAACAACAACAACAACAACAACAACAACAACAACAACAACAACAAATGTGAACAATAACAACGACGTCTATCAATACTATATTCTGATAGGCAAAAATCACATTAAATATTTCCCGATGACTTACATGGATTTTCAATGTCCAAAGGATCAAAGTTGCTGGTCAAAGTCTTGATTATTTCTTTCGCCTTCTCCACTTGATCATCATTCGCTACAAGTAAAACAAAATGACCTGGCGTGCTTCAGGGGCTGTTTACAAGACTCTCGCTTTGTTGGGACGTGATGTGAGGCGGGATGAATTTGATGTATTGAAATAAGCCACAGTGCACGATTCAGTAAAACTACATTACAATTTCTATAGTGATAAACTATGGTGTTAAAATTGTAAACGACAGGTTGTTCAAGCAGTAATAATTATTTTCTTGAATGAACTACGATATCAACTCAAAGAACATATACTTGAGTTCTTGTAACTGGCGTTTGAACATTCATTTAAGCTTTGTGATTTATTCCAAAACATCAAAATAATCCCACCTTCCACCCCATCCTGGTAAAAGGTGGTCATGTAAACAGCTCCTTAATAGTTATGTCACGCACTTGATAAATTTGGGAAGCACTACAACGAAAAGTTGCCTTGGTTAACGCCTTGACTAACTGGCATAGAATAATCTTGTCGTTTTTTACCAACTTCGCGCGACTATTTATGACTCTATGAATCATGATGTGCAACCAAAAATTAGTCAAAATTTATTCACTATTTATGACTTGGTTCCAAATATCGCATGGCCACACCTTTTGCGGAACCTATCCCTCCGAATAACAAACGAAGATACAGTGTCGTTTCATAAAAAGTACGGTAAATCTCCTCATGTTAGTCCGTTTGTGGAGCAGTTCTGTGTAGTTAATTATTGAGTTTCTCACTCATTAATGGTGAGCAGATTTCACAACATGGTATTGCCCAGGTACATGCTATTGCACAATTGATAAGGGATTCGAGGTACATACGATTTTAACGTCCTTATCCGAGAAGACGCAAAAGTGTAACCATTTACTGACGTTAGTGTAAAGGTAGCACTTTGAGTGGAGGTCCAGACAAGGATTAAACCCGGGTCTCCTAACTTGAAAGGCAAGGGTGGTGATCACAGTTTTTTATTATTTATTTTCCTTACAACCATATAAGAATACAAACTGTTTATACATATTAAGAGTATGGTCAAGGGTGTGGTCAACAAGTTATCATGGCCGGATTTTGAGGGAAGGTGTGGGGAGGTGCGAGACCTTTTTGCACCAACCCTGAGAAAATGAAACAGTGATAGCCATCCATCTCGGTGTCCATTAAAGTACCCTTTTAATGCAATGTTTTGAAAGAAACTTTGTAATAATTGTAATGAAGGGCACAATTGGATGAGTTGTACAGTCATAATTCATTAATACACTGATACATATGCACACTACATGCATACGTCACGTCGTTGACTTTTTGGTCCATTCTAAGCCCTAACTTTCCATGGGGGTCGTGAGCTAGACTGCTGCACCTCCCCTAAATGTTTTCCACCTCCCTCACTATTTCCACCAAAATCTGGCCTTGCACGTCATGGGCCCCATGTGAAGATCAGCCAGACAAAAATAACAAAACAATACGAAAATGACGAGGACATAGACTATTTACATACAGTATCATGTTTGGAAATTTAAGAACAGCTTAAACACACCTTTTTGATAATTACGTCATGAATACGTTCTTGGCCTGGGAGCCTCATTTTCATTAATCGTCAGCCAATCCCATTTCATCCTGGTTCACGAGAGCGAGGCTCTCAGGCCAAGAACGTATTCATGAACGTATTCAATTATCGAAAAGGTGTATTGTGAGAACGGCATTTTGAGCAATAAGTGCGCATTCTGTTGACATCGAAATTAGATTGTGAAAAAGTATCAGAGTTAATATTCTATTTTGAGTTAATGTATACTTTCCAATGTATATAAGTGTAACTGGACATGTACGAAACCCAAATCAGTAGCCTCTCTGGTGAATCTGCTAGCCTATCTGCCCCAGACCAGTGATGAAAGAAAGAGTTTCAAGCAAAGCGTCTTACCTCGAGGAGTATCATCATAAGACAACTTCCTCAAATCATCTGCGAATGGCAGAAAAATGAGATGAAAACCAGGAGGCGATACTTGAACATTTTGTTCGTCTAATTCTTCTTCCTGTAGAAATTAGGAAATCAATTAACAAACAAAAACACATAAAATATAATGGTGGAATTCATAAATAATGAATGAGCTTTGGACCCAGTTAAAATTTCAAAGAAAACGCCAGATATACTGTATGCACTTGTAACCATATAAATGAGTCCTTTTGAGGTAATTCAGACACAAACCACCTTGCCAACTACGGGAGTTTAATTATTGAAGAATATCGCTTACATTGTACCTTCACGTTTGGGCCAACTTGGCAGGTAAACAAAATCGCTTAGCATGGTAGCTAACAATTCTTTGTAGCAAATCTCTCTCTTGAACTACTTGAAGTAAGCATTAGGAAATGTTTTCCACCGAGTAAGTCGGTGTGACAGTTTCAAAGATTTCAGGTCAATAATAAAAACCACTATATATACCTCACGACATCGTATACAAGTACAGTAATTGCATCTAGTTCTTAACGTTGTTAAATCATTGTTTAACCTGAGAAGAAGGCCTGAATCTCATATAAACAATATTTTATAATTTTCATATGTTCTTGATTCAAATCATGACCTTCCATCCACATAGGTTGACGTTTCGGCTAGTTGGAAACTACCGAGGTAGATTACTGCTCAGTTGCTACAGTTCAATTAAAGATATTCTTATATACAGTAAACACAATGGACGACTTTGGTGGTTTACCTGTGGAATAAGAGCGACCAGTCTCACAGAGGCAGCACGGCGGGGAACAAACCGACACATGATGACTAAATTTTTCGAAGCACATTTCTTTAACAAGGCTGTGAAAAGACGACTGCTTCCAGAAATTGACTAAATGCAAAGATAAATATTGATATCTGGGATAGTGCTGGCTAGGTGGCTTTTACATACGAATTCCACCTCTGCGGTCTGGGTTTGATTCCTGTAATGTGAGTAGTCTGATTAAAATTTCGCCTCAGGGACGCGTGCAGGCACACTGCTGTAAAGCAGTGTGCATCTGTAAACCCTGCTTTCGATTTGGTGGTAGCTGATTTGGAGCCAACAGATCACGACACTTTGGTATATAAAAAGGGAGTGTGAATACTAGATTCCCCTTATTACGTTTTCGTAGCGCTTTGCATTGTGGTTATAGTGGTATCACTGATAAAGATAGCGGCCTTGAATGAAAATATTGAATATTTTCGCGAATATTCTCCTGTTGGCTATCGCGCACCTGACGCTAGCTTTTTTTAAAAGTTCTTGCATGGGTCAGGACAAAAAATAAGCCATCTTGAATTTCAGTGATACAACTATAACCACAATGCAAAGCGCTACGAAAACGTAATAAGGGGAATCATCAATTGAACAAGTCACATATTGTTAGCACTGATGAAGATCCGGGCTTACGGATCGAAAGCTTCGCAGTAATAAGTTTACGTGGTGTTTCCACAAACAAAAAGTATTATATGTTTTATCGCCATGCAAACCTACAAAGAACTTATTGGTGGTAACTGTTGCATGGGACTAGTCATTTCGGGGATGGGAAATAATCTGGATCTTTCCTATATTGTGCGTCTGTATGTAAACAACATGCAAATCATGGAAGTTTGTATTGCTACGATCTACATTCAACGCAACAAGTTGTGTTTTACACACAGGTATGTACAGTACATATTACAACAACCTACCTTCTCATCAGGGTAAATGAACTGAGCTGGTCTCACATGATGATATCGTTTTAATGAACTGCGTGGTTTGAAACCCAACAGTGTTAAACCTGCAATAGAACAGTTGACGGTTTCATTATAACTACACCATTCGTTTTATACGCTCACTTATTCACACTCGTTTTACTCCTTACAATGCCAGACAATTCACAATGCGTTGCGGTACGAGTCGACTTGTAGCAAATCTAAATTACTGAATATAATCTTGAACTGTCGTTGCCAGTGTAGGTAGTGCCAATCAAATGAACAAGCTTTCGTTGGTAGGGATGCAACTACCTGGAAATATAAGGAGAATTTCGACTTTCGAGCAAGACGAAGGGCCTTCGCTTAAAACGTCGAAATTCTCCTTATATATTTTCAGGTACCGTATTTACTCGATTGAACGCCGCCCTGAATAAGCGCCGCATTTGAGATCAAATTTTTGTAATGAGCGCCGCCCCCAAATGAGCGCCGCACTAAACAGTATAAAAACATTTCGCCGTCAAAATGGGGACACATAGTGACAAAAACCTTTTAAAACTTGTTTATTTTATTGTTAAAAGTTCTTGTTATAATTCACAAATAAAAGTTTTTTTAAAGAGCGCCGCCCCGATTGAGCGCCGCCCCCGAATGAGCGCCGCATCTGAAGCTCTGAAAATTTAAAGAGCGCCGCGGCGCTCAAACGAGTAAATACGGTAGGTGCATCCCTATCAACAAAAGCTTGTTGAAATTACTGTATAACCTGCTTTCCGATAATGAGCCATTGCAACCCCCCCCCCCCTCCCCTCCCCCCTATTGACGACATCTATTTTTTAGTCCCCCAAATTTGTACACAAGCAACAAATTACTTAATGCATCAAAAAGACATTTGGATGAGTTTCAAGTGGGTTTCTCGTTGGCTATGCTTTTGATCCTCGACATCAATACGGCCGAGATATACTTGATTAACTACTCACCAGTGTCGCCTGAGGACTTGATGGAATCGACTTCTTCTTTCTCGAATATAACCTGAGCGAGAGGAATTAAATGTGCCGTTGTTAATTTCTGGGCAGGGTTTTGTAGAAGAAAAAACGGCTTATTTGGCAACAGCACCGAGAATACAGTACAATGTATACGTTTTTAATTGTGTTTAATTCTATATATCAATCCGAGAATACAATGTACATTTTTCATTGTGTTTAGTTCCATCAATTCTCAAACTTTCTGCCTGATTTCAAAAGGAGGAAACAGTGGCGAATACTGAGGGAGGCTGCCAATAATATCCCTTTGATGTACAGGTAATATTTAAAATCCAGCTATGAGGACTGGACAAGATTTCACGTCCGCGGACTCCGCGCAATTTGATCAAGTCAGAGGCGAAGCAAAGGACTGGATCAAAATGCGACGACTTGAAATATAGTCCAGTCCGAATTGGAGGATTTGAAATGACATCTCATATACAGTTATACGAATAAATCAACACTTAAAGTGCGGTGAATTAATTTTGAAATATGCAGTTCAATATATTGATATACTTCACCAGGTGTCCAGTATTATCATGTGAGCAAAATAAAGCACTACGGTTGGCTAATTTACTCATGCAATACTGAGTTTGTGTAACAAAGGTGTGACAATTATTTTTTTGACGATGAAACCGTGGTAGGCTACTGTATATATCTGATATATAGTTATTGCATGAAATTTAAGGCAAAAACTTAAAAAAAACTAAGATTTCCCGCAACAAAGGTGGTGATATGGTGGCAAACTAAATTCCACCCCATACATTCCCACCAAGTATTCGCCACATGGAAGAAGTCGAGGCTATGGCTTACTGTAGGATTTTATGATGGTACGCTTCAATCGGTAATCTTGAACGCAAAAGGTTGTATACACAGTATACATGTAATATACCTTTTCGCCTCCAAACGTCTGATAAAATTTCAGATCTGTGGGTAATAGCTCAACACCAGTCGTCTATAAAAATTGAAAAAAGTTGCACGTTATTAAAATCTCGCCTAAAGTCGTGGTAATTAGGGACTTTAAGATTGATATTTACGGCAAACCGCTAACAGCAAATGGCAAAGTTGGCAAACTTCAAATCGGGTAAATCCCTGCAGCTTTATTCCTGGGTTAGGGTTAGGGGTTAGTGGTTAGGGAGGTGGGGGTTAGGGTTAGGGTTAGGGTGGGGTTAGGGTTAACAACCCAATACTTATTGGGTTGTTAAGCTTAACAATTACAATACTATATTGTTGATAACGCAAGGAGCGCCTGATAT